CAGATGAGCAAACTTCCAAGCATATACAAGGCAGTGTATGAGTAAGATAGAAAGCAAAAAGTTTGCATCTGTCCAAGGAAATGGAATACTTATTCTTGGAAGTAAGTATCTTGGGAACCCTGGAGGTTTCATTTAAAGATTTTATAATGTGGAAGAATAGGAAATGTTGAAAATGGAAAATATTCCTATGAGGAGACAGCAAAGGAGCGCCACTCTGCCTGAAAGCTGCCGTGCTGTAATTAGAGGCTGTCATCAAGGAGGGTGGGTTGGCTCCTTCCTCACTCCCCTTCGGGCCTGGAGTCACCTCCATCCTCTCCTGCGTCAGCCAAGTTGCCCAGGTAAGTCTGTCCTGTCCTGTTTGCTTGCTCTTTTTTTTTTTTTCTTTATCCAATTAAGACGATTCTTAAAAAAAGAAATTGACATTACTAAAACATTCAACAGAAGAGGCAGAACAAAAATAGTTTGAGTTTGGCCATGTAAATACCCACCAAGAAACAGTAAATCCATGGTTTGGCCTGCACATACTTGGGCACACTACTCTGAGTAGCAATTCAGCTCTTCCAGCTATCCAGAAGTATCTCCATAAAGAATACAACATATGATCTCACATGCAGCATCTGTATTTTTTACGTGGGGACAATGACGAACAACAGACCTCAGCCGGGTCCTGACATTTTGCAGCAGATTACTTCATAACCTGGAAATTACAATCAAATAGTCGGTCTTACAGGAAGGAATGTCGATATTGTTCAAATGACATTTTGAAAACCTGATAAATTAGGTTTGCCTGGCTGGAGCACATTACCTTGCAGGGCAACACACTTGGGACTATCACCTGTTGTATTAAACTTGTACAATAAAAGTCTCAGAAAATGGGCCACTAACGCTAGAAGTAAGGCTATCGTAAACACTTACAAATACTGTGAGAAGGTGAGACAAAAGAATGAAGTGTAACAGGCATAAGCCCACGCACATATAGAGTGTCAAAAAGGGTCCCAGAGGTATCTGTCTATAATAAAGTTGCTTGTGCAAGTTGATTGTTAGGAGCATGAACACAATTCAGAGCTCTGTTTTAACCTCTGCATGGCCCTGGTTCTGGCTTCCAAAAGGTATGTTGGGAACTGGGGTGGCTTTTAGGAACAAAATAAATAAAAACTTAAGTCAGAGGGGTGCCATAGAAAAAAAAAAGCCCTCTTAAAATAGATGAGATTAATGCAGAAGCCAGTGTGGCACTGAAGGCTTCATGTGAGTGACAGACATATTGCCAGCATCCAAGCTCCGCGTGTTAGCGAGAGGAGCAGGGAAACATGAGAGGTCTTGGGTTTTTGCAAGTCCAAAGCAAACACCTATGATCTTATTACGCACTAAAAAAGAGCAAAGCAAAGCAAAAGCAACACAGAGTCTGGAGCAAAAGGGCAGTTCGCTGGCAACAAGAACATGGGTTAGTTTCTGCGGGAACTCCATAAATTCCAACTGAGAGGCAGGGTGAGCTAAAGGAGGAAAAATAGACCTAAGATCGGGAGCAAGGCTTCAGTGAATGAAGGTGAAAGTAAGAAAATCCAGCACTCCCCTTCAGCATTTGCCAAATGAGTGTAATTGCCATCTCTTTGGCATGTGATGTTTCTTTAGGTCTTGAAGAACTCCAGGATTTAGAATAACTGATAATGTATTTCATGTAACCTTTTTCACTGCTTACGGAACAGCTAGAAATAGATTGAAGCTTAATGCATTCATTAGCCATGCATACAAATAAACCAAAAATCTTTTAGCTGATTGTGAATTGTTTATGGAGACTATTAATTACCTGCAATATCAGCGTGAGCCACTCCAGCAGCGACACGGCTGCTTCCTGGCTGGATGAGTGAGCACAGCTCACAGTCGGAAAGGAAGGCTTAGGAAACTGGATTCTCTTGAAGAAAACTGGCTTGTACAGGAGGCAGAGGATTCAAAAGGATTAGACGTTTTATATTTGTAAAACTTTTCTTGCGAGGGCAGTTTATGTTGCCTGATACATCCTTAAAAAAAAAAAAAAAAAAAAAAGGAAAAAGGCTTCCTGGCTAGAAACTCAACTTTCTTGTCTCATTAATGGACAACAGTTGTGGGCCAAGAATTAGACACAGCAGACAAGAAGCAGTCCTTGTTGAGTTTGGTATCTCTGGTGATATTAAGAAGAATTTTTTTAAAAAATCCTATTGCATAAAATAAATATCACTGCCAGCTTACTGCAAATAGCTGTGGACAAGATCCTCAGCAGATGTGTGGCTGTGCAGCGTTACCGGCTCAAGGACCAACAAGATGACTTACTCTGGGTAGAGCAAAGCCTTGACTCTTTGCTGTTAGCAGTTTTTACTCCTTTGGGCTTGCAGGGGTAATGCTCAGATTACTGAACCCCTTCCAGAAAGCAAACCAAGGGGCTAAGAAAGCTGTTTTTTTAAATAAAATGAATGTTTGCCCTTCAGAAATAGAAGCCTGTGTGCAGAATATGAGCTTGGCCCTTGTTTGGTTAAAGGGAACACCTTATTCCCCCCAGGACCTCATTCCCTGCTTTCTCCTCCACTACCGAGCAGGACAGGAGGGAGCGCTGAACATGGACCTGGTCACTGCGTGCAGGAGAAGTGTCACTGTCACCCGCAGTACGGTGGCACAGAGCAGTCTCCGTGACAGAGAGAGACCCATATGGAGGGGGGTTCCTTATTCCCTGCAGCTGCCAGGAGCTCAGCATTTCCACCTCTGATCCCCATCCTGTTGGCTTCAGGAACTGGCTGCATGAGCTGCCAGTTGAAGCCGCACATGGGCTGAGGCCTGCAGCTCTCCCCCATACGTGGCTGCTCGATGCGCTGAGGTAATCCCTATCCTCCAGCAAGTTCCCACAGCTGTGGAGCCGTCCTGGCACCAACGCTGCTCAACGTGCACCTACACAGGCCAGATGCTTGCGCTTATGGTCCACGCTAATGAAGGCATGAGGCCCACGGCCTGCAGGCAGCGCCAACCAGGTCTGCAGGGTGTCTTCAGGAGACGTTCAAGATGCCCGAGGTCATCTTCCGCTGCAATCTGAAGACTTTTCTCCAAGGATTTGTTGATCAAGCCCAAGTACCTCTTTTGGCCTTCCCCTCTAAGAGGATTTTCCTATCTTGTTGAAGCAAAAAGGATTTTTTTCCTTTTGAAAAATGCAATAGAAGCAGCTAACCTCAGCCACATGTATCTACATTGCTAATATATTTTTACTAAATTATTGAAACCTGGTGGATTAGAAAGTCTGCTGCGTGAACTAGAGTTTGCAGTCCTGTGCCAGAGACTCAAGAGGATACTAATTTTAACTAATCATCATCCAATCTCATCCTTGCTGGCTGTGCTTGTGTTCAAGGGATAAATTCCTCACAGCACTCAGGGTTCTCATTTCTGTGGTTTCTCTTTTTTAAAAAACAGAATTACATGATTACATAATGCAGAAACACTTCCAGCTCATTACTATTATTAAAAAGCAAATAAAAACCTCAAGTTTAATTTAACCGGCATCCGTGCTTTGGGAAAAGGCCTGGTAAAGGGAAAGTGATGCAAGAAAGGCCCCTGTAGGCCTTAGAGCACGGCTCAAAAGCCAGGGAAAATGATTCCCGATGTAAAGGGACACCTCCCTGCTACCAGTGGACACTGAAAAGGCAGGCAGCAGCTTCAGGATCATCTCAGTGTGCGGGGTCAAGAGGAGAAACTGCACTAGAAAAAAGTCTCATGAAGAGACTTCTCACCCAGTCACGAGCTGTGCAGAAGCACCTTGAGATTCTCATTTCACTCCTGTGCCCAGTTTAAGAGCGGCCCTGCTGAAAACAGCGTGAAACCACCAGCAGCAATGCTAATACCCTAAGAGAAGGAAGAAATGTTCATCAGCCTGAGTGGGCACTCTTCTTCCCCCAGGGCAGGTGCCTAACTCACTCAATCAAAACATGGCCTGGCCAGGTAGATTTTACTCCTGGACACCCTGCACATGCCATTTCTATGGCACGAGCTGCACGTGCTTCCAGGGCTGGGAGCTGCGTAGAGAAAAAAAATCAAAGGTAAAGTGACCAGCTTGTCACTTCTGCTTTCAGCTTGACCTTGGCTTGCATTCTTGGTCTTTCTTTCCATACCAGACATCCTTATACGTGCTTATGGCGTCTCTTGACTGCTAAGAGGTGTGCTGTTATTTTTGTTTTAAGGAATATGGCATAAATTTCAGGCAACTGTTGCTCCTGAAACCAGCTACAGTGACCTCCTCCTCCAGCTCTTTTCAGATCCTCCATAGTGAGGAAGAGGCTGGCCTGGCTCTAGACTGTCCAAAAAACAGTGCCTGTTAGCAAGTCTGAATTACAAACTGATGACATTTTAGACACCATACAGCTGATGGGTAGTTGCATATCCAAATAGTTGCCACTACATGAAAGATAAATCTCTCCCTTTTTATCAGTGGGAAAATGGAAAAAAAAAATCTTACAGGTAGGCTGACTTAAATCTCTGAACTCTTGAATCAAACTGCATTTCTTGTTATTTTGAAGCTGGGGGAGTTGCAGTTTCAGGCAGTAGTTTCCTTTCTTTGCTCCAATGCACTTCACTGAATTGCTGCTCTGCATTTCCCAAAAAAGCAGTGGGGTTTCTTCTGTGGCTAGATCCCTGCTGCGTATCACGGGCATTTTGATCATAGGTTAGCATAAGAAACGCAGTTCAGCCAGGGAGCAATGCTCACAGAGAACCGAGGCAAGAGACCTCAGTCTAACTACAGATCCCAGAAGGGACCACAACAGCAGCAGGGACATGAGCTAGAACAGCATACCGCAACTCTCCGTAAGATACTATTTTAAAACATTTTGATTGGCAAAAAGGAAAAAAAAAAGTCTGAATTAACGCTTTCTTTCCCATGAAACAATTTCAGGCTTTCAGACTAAATGAGGACATTCATTCTTTTGAAATGATAGGGGTTCTCCAATGGATAGAGTTTCCAGTTCTCAGTGAGCTCTGATAAGGGCTTTTACTCCTCCCTGCCTGGAAGGAGTGGCAGGATGACCCACGGTGTAGCCGAGAAGCTGTTCCCCAGAGCAGCTGGTCACCTCTGTTCACGTAATTTCAGGAGAATGCACCTCTTATCCTGCTGGGCATGACACACACTGAACACTAGCAGTATGGCATTTAAAAGCAGCAACAGAACAAATTTCAAGGAATAATGAAAAAAAAGTCATAGCCTGGAAGGCACAGAGCACAGTAACTGCAGACCAGCTATACCAGTAAGAAGCTGAATTCCCACTGCTGGTAAAATTCCTCTGTTGCGGTTGAGAACAAGATCCTTACAGCTGCAGCCGACAAAGAGCTGACACTGCAGCGAGTCCCGGTTTCCATGTCCTAAGCGCAGGCTGACCAGCCACCCCATCAACTGGGCATCCCCATCCTAATTCTGTTAGAAAAAGCCCACTAAAAGAGGAATTGTACCATAATTAATTGGGGCAGAATGGGTAACCCCAGGGCTTAGTTAGCTCCTTGGCAGGGTGAATTTCACAGTCTGCCAATGAGACTGACTTATGGCCTTCAGCAGGGTCCTTAGCCAATTCTTCCAAACCAAGAACTGACAACTATTATTCCTGGCAGGGGGTTCGATTGTGATGGCTGCATGTATGGGAAAGGGATATCGTTAGAAGTTGTCAAACACAGACATTTGGTTCTTTCCGAAGTAGGAGACCAAGTCTGATCTCAGACTTCCTGCGGCAGCAGAAGCAAGTACAGAGCACTAATACGCCTGACCGTCTCCACAGGACTGACCTACAAAGAGAGTTTCAGTGACTCAAGCTTTCAATTAGCTGAATTTCCAGGACTACTAGAATCAGTTTTAGGGAGAGTTTTTCTCCCCTACTTCTTAAATTTCAATTCAATTTTGATTTCAAGGCAGAAAGACGCAAGCTGACCAGCCACAGATGAAGGGGAAGGGCAGAAAGTTTGGGGACTTATTTCTTTTGCAGAGATAACGAGCAGGCACAAACCACAGAAGTGATAAAACTCTGCAAATGAGTGTAATACAGGACTTCCCTCTCTCTTACAAAGCCTGTTTCTCTTTCAGTATCTCTCCCTTTTTGGCCAAATGAAGCTGGAATAAAATTCTTTTGTAATCCAAGCTGGAGGAGAAGAGGAGACAGAGGTAGAAAATCATACGATCTAAATTCTGATACCTACCATTAATCTTTGATGTTCTCATATTTGTTACATGTGTACTAGAGGGAAAGACAGAGGCATCTCCATAGGGTGTCAATATACCTGAAAATCTCATCTGCTATAAATCACCTTCTCAATAGCAAAAGCATCTCTGTCTCTCTCCATTAATAATGTTAAGGACTCTAGTTCCTGACTTAGGAGCATAACCAGTACCAGAAGTTTTAGTGATACCAGGTTGTCTCTGCTCTTTGCACTGTTAGAGCTGTAGACCAGATCATTCTCTGATCTTCCCTAATCTTCCCAACCTTCTCTCTGCTGCCAAACAGAAGAGGACACAGTTCACACTCAGCCTGTGATAAGACATAGGTATCAAATACACACGCAGCATGAAACAGCTTTCCAAGGAAAGACAAGCCAAAAGTCAGTGAACATAAAGTTGTCTTCACAGGGAATTACTCACTAAAAACAGCTTTGGGGATCATACAAGCATAGAACAGTTCTATAATATCCCCTAGACGGGATAATGTGCTACCACTATGGTATTACAGCACTCAGAGATAACTGACAGCAAGATATACACAAATAAAACAAGCAAAACCATCCTACATTCTGCTTGAAGATCTATTGCACTACACCAGATGGTTGGCTGGCTGACAAGAGGTAGCCCACCTCAAACAGGCAAGAATAGAATAAGAAAAGGTCGAGACTGCAGTAGCTTTTCCAAGGCCAGTCTGAGGCTTTCTGGGTACGTATGCCCTTCTCCAGGTCTGAAATGGAAACGCCAAGCGGGAACAGCTGGGCTGAGCTACCCCTACACTTTCCTACACTGTGCTTGATCCTCAGTGAAAATTTAACCTGAGAATTGATGGTGAAGTCAGAGCTGGTGGCACCCCTACTCTGGAGGTGGTATCTGCCCCTGCTTGGGCAGCTGTAACCAGAGCAGAACCATTTCTATATCTGCAAAGACAGTAGCAAGAAGTGAGTCAGTCTGTATTTTTTAAGTCTCAAACAAAAGATAAAAGCCAAATGGACTTCTCAAAACTCTTCTCATTTGAACTGCCTTGCTCTTCAGGAGTAATGAAAGTTTCATCCTGACAACTGCTATGAATGAGAAGTTCTGAAGCACTTTTCTTAAAATCCCTTATGTTAGAAAACCAGATAATCTATTCTCCTAGTTTTAGTTTAACTAACCCCCAGATATGTTAACATAGGAAAAGAAGGAGGAAAAAGGAAAAGAAAAATGGCCTTTAAACTCTAGGAACACTTTTTTTCTGCAATGAACTCAGAGTCACTGAGGTTCCTAACAAAAGTTCAGTGTGTAATATTTTCCATTGCTTATGGTTCCTGTCTGAACTTCCATTTTGTGGGAATACACTTGGATCATTGCTGACCTGTCTCTGGAAAAGGCTCGCTGCATTTTGGCTTGGCTTCCTTCCATTTCTATTCCTCTAAGTCTGTTCCCTATTTCAACATCTCTTATTGCCACATTCCCAAACATGTTACACAAGCCTAAAGAAGCAATTTATAGGAATATTAGTAAGTCAGCTGTGACCAAACAAGCACTTTTCCCTTCTAACAAATCATTTTCTCCTGGGAACTATAGTTATGCGGTTGTTTGCTCACTTGTTTACAGCCTTTCACTGGATGTGATATTTAAACAGGCAGATGACTCAAAGCAGCATAAATCTGTGAAAGTCTCTGCAGCAGCTTTCAAAGTAAAACCTGGCTGGAAATATTCTGTGAAGACTTTTCCAAAAGTGCCTGGAAGAGTGCTCTGTATGAATGTGTAAGTTTCCCATAGCCAACCAACTGCGCCAAATGTACGTACAGAGAGAGCCTGCTTTGATCTTTATTGCCCGAGGCACCACCATCCAAGATGAGAATCCATAAGCACTCCGGGAATGTGCCCCATCTCCAAGAATAGGGCACTTTTGTAACACCAGCAAATACAGGGATAGAGAAAAGGTTGCATAACTTACCCCAAAACTGGAGCTATTTGTAAATGACAAACAGCACAATTGCAGTTTCACCAAATACCCTGAAATTCACAATTTTTGCCTGAACTTGCAACCTCTATTCCCTTGAACTCTGGCTCCCATGGGATGCAAGTGGTCAGTTTTCCAGGTCAAGAGCCATGGCTTTCAGAGTATTTTGTCACAGAATTATATCAAGTTCAAAGTTAACTCCTCTGGAAAATGAAGACTCCTATCATGTGCGCTCAAAACCTAAGCCCTAATTTTTTGCCTGCCTCTCCACAGAATAAATCTTCTGATTCATAATATGAAGTGGATTTTGCTGACCCTCAGTTTCCCCTTTACCCTCCTCTATACCTGTATAACGGGAGGTGGCCAAGGGGAGTAGGTGGAATATCTACCTGCTGCAGCTTACAGCCTGGCACATTAGGGTGAACTAAAATGAACTAATACATGTATTAATCTCAACACCCAGTGATTTTAGTGGAAGAGGGTAAAAGGGGAGACTATGGATGCGGCAGTGGCAATTGAGGGCTGCCTGGTGCCCACCTGAAGGGGAAGCGGGGCTGCTGGAGGCAACTTGCCCAGCCTCACCTATGACCACACCAGAAGATGGCCTCACCGATAGGAAAGGGCATTTTTCCATGCAGAGCTACCCGAGCAACCCAACAGTCTGCACTAGTTGCAATTAGAAGCAGATTTTAGGCTTCTTTGCCCCAAAGCAGTGAACAATCTGTCAAGTAATAATAGCATATGTCACCATAGACGGGCTTTCATTAGAAAGAAACAGTCAGAAGATGTAGGCAGAGAAAAACATTGTAGTCACTGGTGACATAGGATTACCAATAATAACCCCAGGCTGTGAGCATGGGTACAGAATAACTCCCACGTACCCGCATCTGAAGTGACAGACATCATCCTCACCATACGTTATTGCTTTTCTACAGCCCACCTAGATCACTGGGGTCAGCCAGACTCCAGCCACTTGTCATTTACATTTTATAACAGGTTGTCTCTGGTTACGTGCAGTTACTGTGTGCCATTTCACCAGGGATCGCTGGGGATATGCACGTATGGGTAGCGTTTTGCCCGATGTGCCCTCAGTAGCTAAGGGAGCTCACTGAACTGTTTGGCCTGGCACTCTTTTTATTTGGCCTTCACACATGGAAACAATCTCTTTATCTACTCTCACTTTCAGAAATACAGCATCAAGAGAAAGCTATTTTTAAAAACCCCAAGGTAAATGTGAGAAGCAGTGGGGGTACACGAGGCAGGGACTGCAGGGAAAAGCTGGGGACAGCAGGCAGCAGGGACAGCATAAGCTGCTTCCCTCAAGGCTGAGGAGAATTATGTTATCCACCTCCAGCTTCTACATGTCAGTGCTAATGAGTGGGCTCTCTTCTGTCTCTGTGAGTTTTCCAGTTCTTCCCAGGGTAGAACTGACAGCTAAGTAGGCGACAACAAGGGAATGAGTAGGCAAATGAAGCGACATGTATTTATCAAAAAGATTGGACAGAAAATTCCCACGTCCTCTGCCAGGACTAAAATTGCTGGAGAATCACAAAAGATGCAGGGCTAGGAGTGCACGATAAACCAGGAATTCTCACTGCCCAAACTGGGGACAGATAGGTCAACAGGAGAAAGATTCAAGATGAAGGCTAAAACCATAGGCTATTAGGAGCTTTTGAGACAGAGGAAAAATCAGCTTTGAGCCCTCCTCTGTGAACTTTCTGGGAAATAAAAAAGTTAATGAAAAACTGTCGTATCCAGACTCAATACAAAGACTTACAGATGACCTGTGCCTACATAGTATGATCCATCAAGTTGCTATCTTTCCTCAACAGATATTTGGACTTCTCCTGTAAAAAATGTTTTATCTATGTCCAAAATGAAATACAGTATATCATAACACACCAGGACCTTAGTAGATGTATTATGGAAATACCAGAGATGAAATTGGGAACATCTTGCCTGATTTTCTTCCTGCAGGAAAGTTTGGCTTATCATTACTAAAGCAAATTCAGGGAAGAGGAATCTCTCAGTGTCTCTAAAGCGCTTTGAGGAGAGGAAAACTTGAAATACAGTCTTAACAAAACTGCCAATCCTCTCTGCCAGCCTTAGCATCCATCAAGACCTTTCAGTTACCACTTCAGCCTCAGGAGCACTGCAGCATCCGCTAGGCGCACAGGGGCCCCACGGTGCAGATGCTGGTGGGACCTGGGGCTTCAGGATGCTGCAGGCTCCCCAGCAGTTATGCTCATGCAGGAATGTCCATCGGAAGCTGTGATGGGGAGGTACCGTGGACATGCTCAGGGCCATTCCTCGGTTTTCTGGTTATTTCCTTTCCTGAATCACACTGATGCCAGGAAGAGCCAACGAAAGACCACCCTCTGTCCATGCTGAAAGTTCAGTGCCTCCTGCCAGGCTCCTGTGCCTGAAGGCCAGCACAAATGATGCGTGTGCTTTGCAAACAACATTATTTCTTACCACAGAAAACCAGTGTCCCAGTACACAAGGCAAAACCCATTCTTCGCTTTCAAATTACTAATTCCTTCTCAAAGAAAAGCTAATGAATCAAATACCATCAACCACTAAACCTGTTTGCTTAGGGTTTGCCTCAGAAGCACGCGAGACCTTTGCCACTGTGCACAGTAGACACAAGGTTGAACTTGACAGGAGCAAGTCAGGTCTGAACAGGGCAAGCAACCTACAGAACTGGAACAAGGTCAACCCCGGAGACGGGCAAGGCTGCCGTGAAGACTGCAGGACTGCGGTTCCCCATGCAGAGTCAGTCACCGTGTTTGGAAATCAAAACCATTCCAAACTGAGAAGAGGAAACAAGGCTGAGAAGCAGGCAGGGTTTTGGTTTTGTCTTTGACTAGGATGATGCCATGGAAAGCACATTGCAGCTTTTTGTTCTGCTCCACAAAATTTCCCATGCAGCTCGTCCTCTTGCCATGGAAAAGCTATTTAGTATGCACCTCTTCTGGCAAGCTGCCCCAGTCTAACCACAGTTCTGAAGTAAAAACCAACACTTTAATTGCCCATGCTTGATTTTTTGTCATCTTCAGTAGAACAAAAATTTTATTTTCAATGCACTTTCCAAACACTCTTCTCCCCTCCATGACAGATGAGGAGGATAGTTGGTTCACGTCTTTCCTAACACCATCAGGTTGAGAAGCCTCGTGTCCAGATTTTCAAAAAATTTCCTTGACTGCTGTGGGTAGCAGGGAGGAAAATAGGAAATCAGCTCCTTTTACTGTGATGTGTACAAATTTGTGATACCCAT